CCAAAACATTTTTCGTCTCTTTTTTATGGTGTGTGTGTGTAAAATTTTTCTTGAAGAACATTAATAAATTATAAAGGAGCATAAATTGAACCGAATTTGCCTCTTTGGCCAAGTGGTAAGGCGTCGCACTCGTAATGCGAAGATCGCTGGTTCAAATCCGGTAAGAGGCACAAAATTAGTTTTTTTTTTACGAACAAATTCGCATCACGATTCACACCGCACGGGGTTAGGTTGGGTTGGGGCAAATTTATAGAACTAAGGATAATAAATTTTTATTTTTATTTTTATATTTATATTATCTATATATAAACAATAGATAAAAGTAACATGAGACATAAGTAATAAAACAAGTTCTAAGTATAAGGATATCATAATGATTTGAAATAAAATCAAGGTAAAAAAACAACAAAAGTGAAATTTATTGAATAAACTTTTTGAGACATAAAATGGAAACAAGTGGACTAGTTGATTGGAAAAAACCAGTTTAAAAAAATCAATTAATCTAAATGTTTGTTCATTTGAATTAATTTGATTTCTTTAAAGCTTCACGTTTAGAATAAATTTTAGCAGTGAAAGGTTCTTCAATTAATTCAACTAATTGATACATAGCATAAACCAAAACACTTGCAAAAATACCAGCTGGTTTAGCATACCATAAACCAGTACCTAAGAAACATAAAGTAGAACCATCATACATTGGATTATCTAAAACATTAAATGGGAAATCAGTAATTCTTTCATCTTTTAAAAACCCAAAATGATCACCTAAATAAGTACCAACAATACCAAGTTTAAACATTGAAGAAGAAACAAAAATGGAACCAATTGAAAAACAAATTAAACCAATTAATTTAATATAAATATTATTTAATAAATCAGAAGTTGGTTGTTCTAATATAGCTTCTTTATAAATATGATCTCTAATTAAACCTAAAGTGAAAACAGATAAAGAGAATAAATAAACAGCTAATTTTGAAGAACCAAAAGCTAATTTAGATAATAATTTAGTATTATATTCAATTCTAGCACCCATATTCCAATATAATGGATTAAAAACGATAAAACCAATAGCACCTAATCAATGATAAGTTTAATGTTAGTATAGGTGTGAGGAGTAGACGCAAGGGGTAAAAAATGTGGGGCAAAAGTGGCGTTATTAAAGCAATCAATCAATCAATCAATCAATCGATCAAATTAAGTGTTTTATTAGATATATACATACATTTTAATTGATTAGAGTTAAAATCAATATCTTTAGCTAAAGTCCAATAAGTATCCATAGCTTTATCAACGAAATCCATTTTGAGTATGAGTGATTAATAAGGGGAAATATATATATATGATAATCTAATGATATGATAGAATAGAATAGAATAGAATAGAATAGAATAGAATAGAATAGAATAGAATAAAAGAATAAAAGAATAAGAAATAAAATAGAATATGAGAATGAAAAGAGGGAAATATAGTATTATATATATATTAGAGTATTAGTAGTAGTAGTAGTAGTAACAAGATAGTTTAATTAAAGTTTAATGAATTTGTTGGATAATTTAATGATGAATATATAATATTAGATAATCTATTACGTAATCAAGTGTATATTCATAACAGAGAGGCTAATTAATAAGAATTAGGCAGTGGGGTTTATTGCGGCTTTATTTAATTTGTTGGTTAACTTTAATTTACTTCACTTCACTTCACATGCAATGATTAGCTTGTCTTGTCTTGTCTTGTCTTTATGTCTTTATGTCTTAGAATTTGTTGTATGATACTGATCATGTGATTTAGCATGTGATAATTTATATTTGTTGAATCACATGCTGTTTGTTATATCCGATAGATATATTGATCTCGGATCTCTTTATAGTATCTCCGTATAAGAGTATTATAATTGATTAACTAACTATATACTAATTAATTAATTGAACTAGATATGATTCAATTGATAGATATATATATAGTAATATATATATACTATATATACTACCACTCAATTGATTATTAAGTAATACAATCATAAAGGGGATCACTAGTTAGTAGTTACTCAATACATGTGAATATTAAATTATTAAATTCAACAAAAGTTAATTTCCTAATTTGTAAATTTACTTAACTTAACTTAACTTAACTTAACTAAGCGTTAATATTAATATAAAAAAAATTCAAATAAAACAAATAACATTTCAATATAAAGTATTTAATATATAACATTTAATTTAATTTAATCTTCAAGATTTTCATTTGCTAATCTTTTTTCAATTTCAGCTAATTCTCTTTCTCTAGCTTCAATTTCTTCTCTTTTTAATAATAAATCTTTTTGAACTCTTTCTTCAAATGCTCTTAATCTTTCTTCTTCTAATCTAATTTGTTCTTCTTTTGCAATGAAATTGTTACCATTACCATTACCATTTTGTTTTGGTGTACCAACTAAATTACTATCATTAACATTAACATTAGAATTTGTTACATCTCCTTCTTCATATGTTTCATCAAATTCATCATCACCTAATGTTTTAGTTCTATAATTTTCATATAAAACTTCATGAGTATAATCTTTAAAATCATTTAAATGTGTTATTAATAATGTATTTTTTAATGTTAAAAAATCACTAATTTCATTATCAAATATATCAACAATACCCCATTTATATTTTCTAACTCTTTTTAATTCACCTGTTTCTAAATCATTTATTGTTAAATTTGATCCCATAATTGAAAATGGAATTGTTTTTTGTAAATATTTATTTAATTCAATTGTTTCATCATCTAATGATTCATCTAAATTAAAATATTCATTATTAAAATTAAAAATTGGTATATTATAATAATCTAAATCTTGTTTAATTAAATTTTTATTTAATTTTAATTCATTTAATGTTAATGAATCTGATTTACTTATAATTGGTATAATATTAACTAATTCACCTAATGATTTCATTATTTCAACATCCATTTCATTTAATCCATGTCCTGTTGGATTAATAAAATATAAACAACAATGAACTCTACCATCTTTAAATCTTGGATTTCTTCTTAATTTAGATTCTTCAATTAATATTTCATCAAATTGATGTTTTAAATAATCTTTTATAATATCAAATGATTTAGAATTATCAATACAATCTCCAAATCCAGGTGTATCAATTAAATTTAATGATATTCTAATACCTTCTCCATCTTCTAATTCAACTGTTGATTTACGTAATTGTAATTCTCTATCATGTAAATTTTGTTCTTCCGGTGTATAATATGATACAGTAGATGATGGTTCAACAATCAATTGATCACATAATGAATTTATAAATGTTGATCTACCTGATCCACTTTGTCCAATAACCATAATTGTAAAATTTAATGACTTTTTTAAAGTCTTTCTCTTTCTTAACTATACATTTGCAAGTTAGTATATGAACTTCCCCTCTATTAGTTACTCAAAATATTACTTACAGCTGCTGAACTTCCTATGATTGTAACCATTGTATGTATATATGTATGTGTATTTGTAATTGTATGTATAGTAAATAAGTATATCTACTACTAACTATACTTATTAAACAGGGTGTATTTATCTATCAACGCGTCAACAAGTTTTCAATTTTCAACACAACGCGATTTGATCAAATTTGCACGTTTTTTCATTGACAGTTGTTCGTATATTAGTATGTTGGTATGTTGTACTTATACTCATACCCTGTTCTAATTATATACATTATATACATTCTGTACACTTTGTACACTTTGTAAATCTGTGATTGTAAAAAATAGAGAGAAAAAATCATCTTTTTAATTCAAGAAATTAGAAATCAAAAAAAATTAGAAATGAGGCCAACAGGAATCGAACCTGCAACCCTTCGATTGCACGAAATCCTTCTGGAGTCGAAAGCTCTACCATTGAGCCATAGCCCCATTCACTGATAAATTATTGAAAATTTTAATTTATAAACAATTTCACTATTTTTGAATTGCTTAGTTGTTCCCCATTGTTATTTTAACGTTTTTAACTACTTTATACAACAATTTATTCAATTTTGAACGTTGATTATGAAAATTCAAATGTTTTAGAACACTATGGTTTAGTGGAAACGTTTCTAACTTGGATGTAATAGCTTAAATTTTGCATTTTTTATGTCGCTTTGGAAAATCAGATTTTCCAAATCCATTTTCTCAGTGAATCCTTGAAGTTATCTTACCTTTTTCTGACAGTTTCGTTTCATTTATTAGGACAATTGCGCTTTGATACGTCTTTTCTCTTCATTCTGTGTATGATCTTGGCTTTCAAGTTACAGAATATGTTGAAAACCAAGCTATTTTAGTCGAAGTATATGGGACATTTAAGGATTTATCTTTCAGTGATGGGGATCAGTGAGTTTTGAAGTTATGTAATTTACCTAGTTACTATCTGTATGATTATATTGTTCCATTGAATCAATGTGGGTTGATTTAACCTCATCATGAATATATTCAGTATACTTATTGATTTCAACGGCATAGGTGAATAGATATAATCGATGAATTAATTATCGAGGGTATATCCATTACTATTATAACTACGATTAGTGTTTGATTTATTTGGGTTTAATTGTATCAATCACTGTGAATTAAATAACGCTATTTCACGTACCTGAGGTACTAGTACATCGTGTCGTGTTGAGCTTGTAATTCTTAGTTTTATTTTTATTTTTATTTTTATTTTTATTTTTATTTTTATTTTTGACAACCATAGTGATTATTTAACTCCTGACTGGGGTCGGGCTAGAATCTATTATGAAATCCAATCTTAAATAAAACGATACTCTGAAAATACAGTGTTTTTTTGGTTATTTGTGATTTTAAGTTGTTTTAATAGTTTCAAAGTAAATATGTTCTCGATGAGGATAAATTCTTTGCCCGTTGAATAGAGCAATCATCCTGATGGAAGCTATGTATGCTATATAATTATATTATCTACTTATCCCTATCAGCGTAACGTGTGACCGTTAGGAGAGTTGGTTTATTCGTTTTTCAATCGTTAGAATCTTTGATATCTATTGGATAAAATAAGGTCGTATCAAGTCTAGGATTGGAAATGCTGGATCTTCAGCTGTGGTTGATTTCACGTCATGATACACATGATAAAATTAGGAATAAAGTTTATATAACCTTTCACTTGTACTTATATTATAAACTT